TCCTCTTTGGTAGTTGCTTGGAAGTCAGTAAAACAAAATAGGAATAATAATAATACCCTTGTTTCTTCCCTGGGATCAGCTATGGCTACTCAAAAGTAAACCCCATTGAACTCAGTGGGAATGACTTCTGAGTAAACGTGTATGAGCTCAGACTGTCCACACACACCCTCAAAAAAACGGGGGCAGATGAAGAGAACTCAGGGGTTGGAGAGCAAAGTTAAGAAGCCCTCTAGTAGACGGATGAGGGTTGTGGCGCAACAGAAACAAACAAGAAACTAACTGCAGGCGTGAGACCCAGTTCACAGTCAGGACTTTAGCAGTGGGATCCTATATGTGGCTACTCAAAAGGAAGTCCCACTGAGGGGATGGCAGACAAAGGCACATTTTAATAGCTTGAACTGCCCTGCAGTTCTTGTGGAATCGCACCCTCAACAACACCCCCCCCCCATTAACAATGCGTTCCTAACCACGTCTACTCAGTGGTAACCCTATTGGATTCAATGGAGCTTACTCCCAGGTAAGTGGACTTAGGACTGCTGCCTCGGCCCTTAAGCGGCCTCAACTTATCCTTCTGCAGAGAGAGATTGGGGCCCAAGGAGAGCGACGCCCAAATCCCCCAGGCAAAATTTCTCAGGGATCTGAATCCGGGCCCGGAGGCCTACCATTAGGCCCACGTATCACTTGTCTGAACTCGGGTTCAAAGTCGACGAATTGCTTCCAACGAGGGTAATATCCAGCACTGCTGAAGATGGTTTGGCTGAATGGAGCGCATAGGAGAACCACGAAGGAAGGAAAGAACTAAATTCACAAGGGATGAACCGGAAGACGAAATTCCCACTTCCCAGGCTTTCTTCCTGTCGCGCCTGACCCCCTTCCGACGACCGAGTATCTCTCCCATTCCTTCTCAACTGGTCTCTCCTGGCAGACTTTTTAAAGCAACCTGCTCTCTCCCTCTCTCACACGCGCCACCATTTTATCACTTGCCAAGCAAGTTCCTGGAAAAGGAACGCTCATTAAAGGGTCTAGAAGCGCGTTCCTATCGCATGACGCCGTCTGCTGAGAAACTGGGCCGCTTTGAATTGCCCTGTTGTAAGTTCTGTCCCTCTTCTTCCTCCCCAGCTCCGTCGGGAGCCTCTTCTCTGCATCGCCTAACTCCTTTCCGGGATATGAAAATGAAGGAGTGTTTTACTAAAGGCGGGTAGGGATGGCTTGTTTATACTGATTTATGCACAAAGCTGAAGAGGACCTTCTCCTTGAAGGCGTCAGCACGTTGCCCGAAGCATCGGTGGCCTGTCCTTCAGTATTAGATGGTTGTCATTCCAAACGCCCTGGTCGGCATCTACCATTGTGCGCTTTAATTGATTCTAGCAAGAACCCTGCAAGCTAGACTGGTCTGGAGGTGGTTTGATCCAGGCCACGCAAGAGGAACCTATATGGCTGAACCTCCACCCACCTTCTTAGGAGAGCGAATCAATGACATTACCGAAGGGTCATCTAGAAAAGGCTTTTTTTTTTCTTTAAAAAGAAAAAACAAACAAGCCTAGAAAAATCTGGTGATGGAAAAACCATCTGGATCTAAAGAGACCCCTAACTCAAGCTCAAGAGCGAGAAGTTCTCATTGTGAAACGGCAAATATCACTAGGCGCACATGAACTCTGCTTTCAGTCCCTGTGTGATGCTTTGCTGATCACAAGTCGAAAAACAAATATCTGTTGGCGCTCGTTGGTTTTTTCCCCTTCCAAGCTAAAGACTGTGGGTTTTCGAAACAGCCCATCAGGGGTGCATGTGGGGCAACCCTTCTGGTCTGTGGCTAGAGGAAAAGAGAGCTCCGTTTATGGAGTGGACTTTCCCAGTGATTTGTGCGTATAGAAACTAAAAATATAGAGTGTGGTGGGAGGGATCTGCTATAATTTTTAATTCATTTTGGATTGCCAGGTGAGGCGAGGAAGGACGGTGCGCCTCTACCACACACCTCCCAGAAATGCGATTTGCAAACCCACCGAAGCAGCCCGTTCGAAGGGCTGAAGACGCTGACCTAGTGCTGAAGCTCAGCTGGGAACCTGATGCGAACAGCCCTGGCCTCTTTGCAGGAAGCTCGGAGCCGAAGGGTAGGGGGAAAGTAAACAAAAGTTCCTTCTTTATTCTCTGCTTCGCTGTTGCTCAGTGGTAGTTGATCGTCTGCTTTGGAAGTAGAAGGTCCTCAGGTTCAGCATCTCCAGGAAAGGTTCCCGACCTGAGAGAGCCGGGCAGTTGGACGAACCAATGATCTGATTCAGTAGAAGGCAGGAAGGATCTTATAACTCGTTTGCCACTGTGTGCAATTATCTGCAGACCACGACTGAATATTTGGAGACTGGTGGATCCGACCGTTTCCTAACCACTTCTGCTACCCTCGGCCAGCAAAGGTGCGCGAATGAACCCACACATCACCACCACTTTTATAAAGAGTTTATATATAAAAACCACCTATAATCGCTTTCCCCCTAGGCTGGAGATCTCTTGAGACTCTGCGGGAGTGGGCTGTCGCCTAGCAGGAAAGCTTTTGCCTCCAGATCAGATTCTTGGGTCATTGCTGGGCGGGAAGCGGATGGTTGCTGCTGTAACAGACCAGGGCAGCTTTCGCAATGTATGGCGTGTTTCCCACGTCTGTGAGCTGCACGACCTGGGGAGTAGGCTGCTTGGCGCTCGGTGCTTTCCCTCCGAAGTGGAGCAAAGCTGCTCCCGGACCCCCGCCGGAAAAGCATCCGAGAACGCGTTTCTGTTTCCATCTCCGCGCCGAAAGAAGCGACGGCAACTAGGGAACTTGCACAGGGAACTGAGCGCAATGCAAGGGGGAAACGAGCGCTGGTTGTACCTAATGCGCCTTCCTCGTACGCGAAATCGTTCTGCGAGTTCGGTGCTACACAACGCAGCGCGCAAAGGATCTCCGCGATCTGGCAAAAGAAAGAGCCCAAAAAGCTCTTTCTTTCTCTTTCAAAGAGGCTACTCCTAGTTCCTCAGTCAAAAGTAGAAGGGGGAAATCCACACACACACACACAACCTTTCCCTCTCAATATCCCCAAGCCTCGCGCGCCGGCGCAAGGGTTAATCTCTCCTGCGGGTACAAACAGGTCCGCCGAGTCTCTGGCTGGCGACAGATGGCCACTTTCTTTCGGGCCACAAAGGGATGGCAGGGAGAGCCGGGCGGCATACGAATGGGCAGCTCACGTGACCCGCGCGGAGCTTGACGTGGGTGACCATATGGCGCGTGCCGGGGGAAGGCTGACGCAGTCGCTGGGTGGGTAGGGGGGGTGTAGCGGGAGGGGGGAGGAGCGAGGGAGGTGGGGCTTGCTGCTCGGCCATCCCCAGGGGGTCCCTTCGCTGCCCGCCCCTCCTCCTTCTCCTCCCCCCAGCAGAAGAGCCTTGGCTATATATATAAGCGGAGTCTCCTGCATGCAGCCTCAAGGAAAAAACACACACATAAATCCAATAAAAAGTGGCACGTCCCTCCGTTGTAAGGAAAGCTTCCCAGGAGCAACAGGGTTATGAGACCATCACTGCAAAGGACACGCTGAAGAAGAAAAAGAGAAAGGTAAATATTTGATTCCCTCCTTAGCACCCATCTCCTCTTTATACAGTATCCGTGGCTTGGGTGAAGGATATGCCTAAAAAAGAAAAGGGAAAAAAGCACCCCAACCCATCGCACGACTAGGTTTATTTCCCCAGAAGGCTATTATTTCCTCTATCTGAACGAAATAAGGATGAACCATTGGATTGGCTCTTTTCACTACATTTTTATTTAAAAAAATTTTTTTTAATAACCTTTCTTGTAGGCGAACTCTTTTCGCCACGCGCTTGGGTGGGACGTCCAGTACGATCTTACTCGGGAGTAAAGTATGGGCATAGCCAAGGGAGGGGCAAGGAGGGGCAGCTGTCCCCCTAAATCAAGTAAACCAATACAAAATACTTAACTAGCTGAGGTTCTCTCCCCCCCCCCACAGCATAAAGCCTGCCCCTCCCCCAACATAAATCCTGGCAAAACCCATGGAGTAAAGACCCGCCGATCCAACGCTCTCGACCTACTCGCTAGAAAGCGCGCGTTAGATGACATCCTTCAGTTCCCCCAATCTGCGTTTCTGCTTCTGCGTCAAGGCTTGTGAGGCGCAGCGACACAAAAAATACGGTAGAAATGATCCGAGGAATGCCTTGTTGCGCGTGGCACTGGTTTTTGGGGGGGCGGGGGCGGGGATCAGAGCCAAATCGAATCCAGTAGACCTTGTCCTTACAGATTGGAAGGAGTGTGGGCTGCAGCAGTCTAGAACAGGTGCCGCTGGAATTCTTTCTTTCTTTCTTTTGGCGGTGGAAAAAGAGAAGAAAAATGGGGTGTCAAATCAGTTTATAGGACTCGTCTGTCCTTTGACAGGTCAGGATTGGGAAATGGCGGGCTGGTTGATAAAAGCGAGAGTTCCTATATGGAGAGAGGGAAAGTGGGCAACAGATGGGTCAGGTTTCGCTCCCCATTGCCGCTGGAGGGAGAGGGGCTGCGCTGGTGACGGAGAAGCAGACGGTTTCACTCAACTGTTGCATTTAGAGCGCCTTGTAGTTCCGGAGGCTTCAGTAGCGTCGCTTGCCTAAGACGGTCAGGATCGGTCCATCCCCTTCATTAGCAAACGCTTCCTCTCGCAAGGTTGGGGATCCTCAGGCAGAAAGGGGGGTGGGGGAGGTAGGGGAGGGGTGGTTTATTAGAGAGGCTGTGGCTGCACCTGATCCCCTGTCTGGGCGTCAGACTTTGGCTGGACTCTGAACAGTTGGGAAGTCTGCAAGGCTATTGTAGGAGAGAATGAAGTGGCAGAATGAAATGTGGGCAGAATGAAAAGGGGCACTCAACTCAACGGATAAATCCTGCCCGGGCTGAATAATCGTTGGCCATTTGTCCCGCTGACTCTGCTGCTGCGTGATGTTCTCTCCCCCACGCCCGCGGCCGCCCCCCCCCCCCTTAGAGACATTTTCTTCTTTTCGATTCTCTCCGTCAAATTTCATTCTATCTATAATCTCCTCAGAGAGCCAGCACCAACACTACTATAAACAAGTTATATAATGCTATTTGAGACGATCGATCTCATTGTGGCCGAGACGCGCAGAGAAAAGTCGAAGTTTGTTTACTGGGGAAGGCTTAGGAGTCAGAGAGTCTAAAGCTGTTGTACTAACCCCTTTCGCCTCGGAGGAAACTCGGTTGAATTCAATAGGACGTCTCCGTAGACAGGGTGAGGATTGCGCCGTAAGTTTCAAATTGCTAGGAAACTTCTTTAGGAACCCAATTTACAGAAAGTCGCATAGAAATGTGGGGGGTGGGGTGGTGAAATCCACCAAAGCCAATTATCACATTGTAATCGGTGTGAACGGAATAACTATTATAGAGCTTCCTAAATAATGCTGACAAGGAGAAAATCCTGTGCATTTCTACTCAGAAGTAAACCTCGCTGGTTTCAGTGGCGCTTACTCCGTGGCAAATGCATTTAGGGTTGTAGCCCCGGAGGAAGGGCTTGGAGGAAGTTATTGGGAGTGTCCTCTCTGCTAAATGCTTTTTCCTCTTGTGATCTCTTCCGCGCGCAGGATCCTGCAGGATGACCAAATCGTACAGCGAGAGCGGGCTGATGGGGGAGCCCCAGCCGCAGGGTCCCCCCAGCTGGACGGACGACTGCCTCAGCTCCCAGGAGGAGGAGCACGAGGCGGAGAAGAAAGAGGGCGACCTGGAAGCTATGCACGCCGAAGCCGAGGTGGACTCGCTGAGGAACGGCGAGGAGGAGGAAGAGGAGGAGGAAGAGGACGACCTCGAAGAAGAGGAGGAGGAAGAAGAGGAGGAGGAGGAGGAAGAAGACGACGACGATCAGAAGCCCAAGAGGCGCGGTCCCAAGAAGAAGAAGATGACCAAGGCCCGCTTGGAGAGGTTCAAGCTGCGGCGCATGAAGGCCAACGCCCGCGAGCGGAACCGCATGCACGGCCTCAACGCGGCTCTGGACAACTTGCGGAAGGTGGTGCCTTGCTATTCCAAGACGCAGAAGCTGTCCAAGATCGAGACGCTGCGCCTGGCCAAGAACTACATCTGGGCCCTCTCGGAGATCCTGCGCTCCGGCAAGAGCCCCGACCTGGTCTCTTTCGTGCAGACGCTCTGCAAAGGCCTGTCCCAGCCTACCACCAACTTAGTGGCCGGCTGCCTGCAGCTCAACCCGAGGACTTTCCTGCCCGAGCAGAGCCAGGACCTGCCGCCGCACATGCAACCGCCCAGCGCTTCCTTCCCGGTGCACCCTTACGCCTACCAGTCGCCAGGGTTGCCTAGCCCGCCTTACGGCACCATGGACAGCTCCCACCTGTTCCACGTGAAAGCGCCGCACTCCTACGGCGCGGCGCTGGAGCCTTTCTTCGAGAGCGCGCTAGCCGAGTGCGCCAGCCCTTCCTTCGACGGGCCCCTCAGCCCGCCGCTCAGCGTCAACGGGAACTTCTCTTTCAAACACGAACCTTCCGGAGAGTTTGAGAAAAATTATGCCTTCACCATGCACTACCCCGCCGCCGCCGCCCTGGCGGGGACTCCGGGACACGGGTCGCTCTTCTCCTGCTCTGCCTCTCGCTGCGAGATCCCCATCGACAACCTCCTGCCCTACGAGAGCCATGCCCACCACGAGAGGGTCATGAGTGCCCAGCTCAATGCCATCTTTCACGACTGAGCCCTTCCAGAAGCGTCGGAACAGAGGAGCGAAGGGGCATCGAGGGGCTGCCTTGCTTAGGAAGGGGGGGTCCCACAACACAGACACCCACCCACCCTAGGGCTCCAAGTGCAAAAAGACGGGAAGGGGCAAAGGGGGGAACTTCCAAACGCCAGAGTCATCTATATAAATATATGGGGAGACTACATTTTTCCTGGTCCCCCTTCTGTAAATCCCACCTCCCTCCGCTAAGCTTCCCTACCCCGCACGGTCCCGAATGTAAATCTGCACTATCAATTTAGTGTATAAGAAAGTGAGCCAGTCTCCCCACTGATCTGATCGGGACAAAAAAAATAAATCACAAGCAATAATTAGGATCTATGCAATTCTTATTAATTTTTTCTTGTTTTTGACACTAGACGTGGGCCAGTTTAAAAAAAAATCGAAAAAAGTATATATAAAATGTCTATTTTTCAACCAGCATTTTTCCTACTTGCTACCTTTTCCCATGCCGAATTATTTTGTTGTGGTTTTGTACAGAATTTTTAATAACTTTTGATAAACTATTTTAAACCATGCAGCTTCATCGATTTTTATACGTATTGGAAACAAAGTAGAATTATATCTAATTTATACGAAATAATTTAAGTAATTTAAACCAGCAGAAAAGTGCTTAGAAGAGGTGTGTGGGGAGGGGGGGATGTTCTGTTGCCTTAGCACCTCCCCGCCCCGTTCATTTTCCTTTCACGTTCTTCACACACACAAATGCACAGCGCCAGCAAAGTCTTTCCCATTAAAATTTCGTTTCCTTCCAGTAAGAACCAGATTCCTACAGGGTTTTTGGATTATTATTTTTTAAAAAATGGAAGTAGGAAAATATTTATTTCCTATTGGAACATATCAATCCAACGGAAGGTTTGCAAAACCTTATGTGCGGATAGAGAAACCCTCCCACCCGCCAGACATTCATGTTTTCATAAGGAAATGCCAAGTTCTTCCCTTTTTTCCCGAATCAAAAGCTGCTTGACTATCACATTCAATTTGCACTGTTTCTTTTTAATCTTTGGCGTCCCCGTCCCTTCTCCTCACGTGATTTTGAAGAGAACAGAGATAACTTGAAAACACTTAATGTTTCCAGGCAATGATAAATGCATGATATATATATTTTTAAATATATACATAGTCACATGAATCGGTGGTTTGTCATATTTCCGTCCAGGAGTCGAAAAGCCAATCAGGTTCACTATGGTTGGGGTTGTTATATAATATACTGGTGGATTGTAGTCAGTAGTTTCAAACCCATTCGAACCATTTGACTTCGTAATTAGAACAATATAGTTATTATGCATGTACAATGCAATCCGCAATAAGTGCTGTCTGAAATGTAACGCTGGTTCAACCGAACTCAATCTGTACTGTAATTTTGTTCGTAATCCTGTATATGACTATGTAATGCACATTTGGGAATTTAGTAAGCACACCTTTGGAACGAGATAGTAAGGAGACGTCCGTCAAATGTTGCATTTCTCCTTAAATATGATTCCCCTCTCCCTTCCCCCTTCTTAGTGTGAGCAATTCCTATGGGATTATTGTAACAGTTCCTTAAAAAAAAAGGTGCAACCTTTACTAATTTGTACAATAAACGGAAGTTTAAGAAAAAAAACAAACAAAGGCGCAGTCCAATAGCAACCTGACAGCGGGTGGGAGGTGGCAGGAACGCATAGCTAGCGAGCAAGGTTCCCTCGGAAATCTGATCTGGAAGTCAAGGCGAGCTCGCATTCAAGCGCTCCCAGTAGCAACCGCTCACCGGGCCAAGGCCCTACGTAGCTGTTCAGCTCTGCGGTGCTGAAATCCCACAGGGAGAGACGGCAAGATTTGGCCAGCAAAGCCAACTCCACAGCGTCCAGCGATCAATTTGTAGAGATTCTGCTGCTGCTCTGGACCAAAGAGGAAGCCACGACCTCTGACCTGTAAGCGCTTTGTAGCCCCCCAAAGATGGAGAAGGGGAGCTGGCAACAGTTATTCGGTGGAGAGGGGGAAAGCTCTGCAGAGCACTGAATGTATGGCACTCAGACAGGTTCTGGGACTCTTAAGCCTTGGGTGTGTTACTGCATCTGAAAGTAAACTGAAATAAGTGGTGGTTTGACTTCTCTGAAGCAAGCCATGTATCCTAAGCGATTGGGTTGGATGGAGGGTGGCAGTCGCCCTCACTTTGTGTCCACACCATCTGTGGTCAAAATCCAGGGGTGCCATATCCTACACACAAATCTTACCAGGAGTCATAGGTAGCTCTTGTTTCCTCCGCTCCTTCCTGCCCTCACTCAAATCTGATCAATATGGATATGTGTTCCTTTAGAGTGGGGAGGACACTTCCGTACGCTTGGGTTTCGCACATGTAGCTCTTCTACCAGGAACACATCTGTTTCCAGTCATCATGACATCTAAAGAAGTAAGCAATGCAAACATACTTTGCTATTTGCAATTATATTTTGAATGCTTCCAAGGTCAGACCTCAGACCTTTCTAGGACATCTTGTCTCACATCTCCAGTACCATCTGAAATTTGAATCTTGCTGCTACCCCTGACCTAGAATATCTACTGGCACTGACAGCACCATAACTAAGATTTGGGGTCCTGCAGCAAGCAAGGATGGTGATGATGGGAACCCACCAACTGCTCATGGAAAGGCATAGAGGAAATGGTTTCTATTTCCCCAAGCAGGAGGTAGCATAGAGACCCCAGCATTCCAGGGATTTATTTTTCAACCTTTGGTGACTGCCTTAGATATATTACAGCATCTGAATTCAGTAGTGGTTGGTCTCCCCAGAACAAATCATGTTTCTGCCTGAAGCTGGTATTTATGTGTTTAGGCCAACCCCAGGTTTTCAGTACCCAGTCTGCTCCTACCATTAATTGCTGCTGCCAAGTTGCTGGTGAATCAGGACCCCTTTTCAAGTTTATGTTGCTAACAAGCCCACCTAAAGGCTCCAGTGCAGGGAAAGTTTGGTACACATAAGTCCTACTGAAACCCAGCTGCCCTTTGCTAACAGTTGTTAATTCGTGATCACTAGGCTTCCAGATTGCTGACAGGCTTGCACAAATATCTTACATGAGGGATGGAGAATTTGTGGCCCTCCCAAAGTTGTTGGACTACAGTTCTAATGATCCCTGACCATTGAACATGCTGACTGGGACTCTCAGGAGTTGGAGTCCAGCAACATCTGGTGTGCCGCAGGTTTCCCACACCTATTTCATGTTGTCTCCCTAATGCACTATGTACAATCAAGAGCAGACATCATGAGTAACACTGTTATGGATGCGTGTGACAAAAGTAGGAACAAAACTAGTTTGCATATACAGGGATGCATGCTTAAATCAGCATCCATGAGCCTGTTCCATTGTGATGAACTGGTAACCCTACTCTTTGGTGTGAATATGTATTATGAGGTTCATTATGGCTATACGGTAGCACTAAAATACTGAGGGAGGGATTAAACTATTGAGCCCTATCAGCAAAAGTTCTGTACAAGAGCTTCTCCTTCTGCAATGGGGCTTCCCCACTCTCACCAACCAACATTCCCCCGAAAATTGTCTTGAGAAGGTTGGGAGAACCTCAAGAACAGTGAGCTGGGAGAGGAGGCAAGGACTCATTCCACCTGGCAAGCTGAAATGCTTGTCCTCATGTAACATCACCTTAGATTGTTGTTGAATTCTTCCCTGAGACACAATGTTCCTCAGGACTGTTTGCATTTCATTATGCCATGCACAGAGAAAGTGCAGAATGGGCTATTATGATTCCCTGAGAACCTCAGCATTCTTTTTCATTTTTAAGGGAAAAAATTCTACCACTTACCGGTAATTGCAAGTGTGGTTTATTTGGGTTGGTTTTTTTCGGGGCGGCAGTAATACTTCTGTGTTTGCAACAATGCAAAATAAAACACACACAAAAGCTGCATGTGTTCAACCCCCACAAAAATAAAATAAAGGTCACCATGTGAGCCCGTAAGATGAATCTCAACGTCCACATGAGGGCAATACTTTAGTGGACCAACCAAAATGACCAAGCTGTCACAAATGAGCGTGCAACAACATTTTGATTTCATTTTCTACAGAACTCTTAATCAGGTCAGGTGGCAAACAAAGCAATGAGAAGGGAGGGGGGAAATGTTTGGTGGTGAAGTCAAGAGTCTGTTTTGGGAAAGAGGCTGAAGCTGGAATGCAGGTGGAAGGAGCAGACATGCAAATGAGGTTCCATAAGATGCTCTGCAGGTTTCAGGTTGCACCAATGCATCCTGGGAAGGAGAAACTTACAGTGGCTAGTTTCCCACCTCTAAAAATACAAAAAAGCAGCTGTTACATGTCTGTCCTCAGGAGAAACACACAGCTTGCTTGGTAGGTGGAAAGCAGGGAAAAGGCAGATTTTATATAAACAAAGGTGGGAATTAATTGTAGGTGGTGTGCTAGGTAAAAGCATTCAACCCGGTAGTCCTTTGTTCTCCAGATGATGCGCAGGGACAGAGGAAGTGTCAGGGTTTTTTGTGGTATTGGGGTTTTTTTGGGGGGGGACCTAGAAAGTTTCCTAGAGTTTGTTCCTTCTGTAATTACTAGTCAAGGTCAAGGCCAGTCCTCCCCACGCCTAATGAAAGTGTGTGAGAAATGCCTGGTGAAGACCACAAAGCCAGAGGAGGAGCGGATGCTTTACAGTGATCATAAGAGCACAAGAAGATCCCGGCTGGATCACAGCCAATGACCCCTCTAGCCTAGCATCCTGTTCTCCCACTGGTCAACCAGATGCCCGTGGGAAGCCTGCAAGACAGACATGAACACAACACCACTCAGTGGGCAAGCAAACAGAATGGAAGGATGCAAAAATACAATGTAAAATTCATCCTATCCTTCTCAGATTTCTGTTTTTCTTGGTGCTCAGTTATCTTTTGTAAAAAAAAAATTAATGCACAGCCATGAGGATAGTGGGCAGGGTATATTACATTTGCCTTTTCAAATGCATATGCTGGTTCTTTTTATTGTGTGATGTGGAGGAAGGGCAGAACAATTTACTGGTAGCAGGACTACCTTTGTTTCCTGCCTGCCTTGTAGGTAGCAACTTACTTAGCTGAAACCCTTTCTAGTAGTTCTGGAAACAGAGAAGCAGTTCTTAGCTGCCTCTCCTTTGTGCCTAGTTACTATGAAAGGAGATCTCCATTCAGGAAAGGGTTATGCAGTCTTCAAACTGTCTCTTGTTTCCTCCCTGGGTTGCCTGGCAGTTGAATTGACACAGTGATAGCTTCCTACTGCTTCCAGATTTCTTAACCTCAGCAGCCTTAATTTAGAAAGGGGAACATTTGGTCTCCTGTTGTTAAACAATTGGGAGTCAGAATCCTTGCTGACCACTTACAGATCTATCTGTAGATCCCAGTCTACTTTCTGCCCAGCTCTGGTTTGTTGTCTGGAAGAGCAGATGGGCAGGAGGCAATTGCCTTGAGGCAAGACTGTGGGTGTATGATTGCAAATATTATTTACATTTATACCCTAACTTTCATCCATGGAGCTCAAGAAAGCATGCATAAAAATCCCAGATAGTCTCCCATTTTGGGACTGATCAAATGCAGACCTGTTTAGCCTAGCAAAGTGGTCGTATCATGTACCTGCAGAACATGCTCTGGAACTGTTAGAATGTTCGCATATCAACAAAACCTTCCAGAACTTTAAGCCTCAGCATTGAGGTAATGAGACTGTGTATCTCTGAACATCCTCAGCCACAACTGTCATTTTTAAAAAGTCCATTCTTCTCAATATTCCAAATAGATGATGCTGAAATTTGCTTCTTCTTTTTAAAACGAAAACAAACCCTGAGTATAATTGGTCACTGGTAATCTACTGATTGACACAACCAAGCATGTACCCGGGTACCTCGGGTTAAGTACTTAATTCGTTCTGGAGGTCCATTCTTAACCTGAAACTCTTCTTAATCTGAAGCACCACTTTAGCTAATGGGGCCTCCTGCTGCCACCACGCCGCCGGAGCACAATTTCTGTTCTCATCCTGAAGCAAAGTTCTTAACCCAAGGTACTATTTCTGGGTTAGCGGAGTCTGAAACCTGAAGCGTATGTAACCTGAAGCATATGTAACCCGAGGTATCACTGTATTTGACAACCTGGCTTCTCTTTGATGGAGTAAAATACTAGAATGGCAACTTAATGGTTCCTCTCACAGCATCTGAGCTTGGAGTGTTTTCTCTGCTGTTGCATGCCAGAGACTCATCTTGGCTCTGAGGCGGTAAGAAAGCAATTTGCTTATTCCAGGATGCAGGGCATGCATCCTTTATGGAGAAGTAATGGATTAGAACAAGGTGCCTGGAGAATAATGTTTTGGCACCACCCTCTAAATATTCAGCTGCCATATTCCCCATACTAAGCCATGTTTACTGCATAGCTTTCCTTCTTGAGACAAGGCCATGATCTCAGTTTACTATGCCCATTTATGTTATTTTGTTTTTTTAAAAGAGTGACACATGTGGTTGTACATTTTCATTTTTCTTATCTTTCAGGGTTCTTGCACACAGGCTGAACAATAAGTGATCTAATAAGGCCAACAAGAAGAAAGTAGTTACAAGCATTGTATATAAGAGCTTCGGGACTTCATCATGATTGTATGAAAATTCT